GACGTTGGAATAATGGCTGAAATAAAACATAGGCTAACGTTATTTTGATGACGTTGGCCAAACTTTATAAGAAAAACAATCACCAATGTATTTCTAACATTTTCACGATGTTATTTCTACACTGCAAAGAGCAATAAAGCACTATGTTGCACTGTATAACATCGTGCTGTGATGTTTTTTTCCTTTTATTTATTTAGTTCATACATGGCAATTATATTAGTCCAGGTAACTAATTGAATATGGAAATTAAAAGACTAAAAAAGAAAAATAAACTTTACAATACTTCTATTTCAAAATTTTAAAATTATATACAATAACTTAGAGTGAAACTAGTTTGATTTTTACATTCTTTCCAAACTTCTAGCATATCTCAATTAATTCGTGTATTCTTTGTTTGACACTAAAAGATAAATTCATATAAATAAACAGTTATAAACAAATTTAATTAAAAGCATTATCAACATACGAAAAACATTCAGAAAGAACAAATAGAAAAAACTAACATAAATACCAGAAATTGATCTAATTTTTTATTTGATGCTCAACTGAGTTTTCCTTTTTTTGAAAAATTATTGACAGAAAATCTTTGAGCAAAATCCTTTGAAATAGAAAAAAATAACTTAATTTCTATTATAACTATCAAAATAAAATTTTTTAAAATAACAAACTTTTATAAAACACCTTCTAACATCCTAATTGAAACATTCAAATTTGCAAAATTTGAATTTTTCAATTAGGATTTTAATGAAATATTAGGATGAAAATTAATTTTCCATTAAAAAATATCTAAAATTAAATAAAATTTAACAAAATGTCATTATTAAATATATATTCATAAATGTTGAAATAGTAGGGAATATATGATTCTCAATAAACTGCATTCAAAAACTAATCCAATTGACAATAAAAAAAATTTAATTAGATAAAACAAACAAAATTTATTCAAAACACACAATCATGACATAATGGAAAAAAAAACATTTTTTGTTCTACCCTTAAAACTAATAACTTTGCGTTTGAGTTCAGTTTTTTGAACAGTTTTTCTTTTTACAGAAGCGATTTTTGGCACAGTTAATATTTTGTTATATCTTGAACTGCATGGTACAACAAAGAATTCATTAAAAAGCCGACATGGAATTATTTCACAAAGTAAATAATCGAAATTGATTTCAATAACCTGTGCCAACTGACCACTTTTCAAAAAAAACCAGCTATCTTTACCACCAGGGACTACTTTTAGTTTGTGTTTTTTTCTCAAAAATTTATCATCTAAACAATCTATTTCTCCTAAACGCTTGAAAATTTGAGCAAGTGGCATGTTCTTACCACGAACCAATCTTTTCAGACGCTGCAAATAATTTTCAAACGAAAAGACAGACATAACAAGTAGGGTCAATTGATATTTTATAACATCTTCAGAAAAATGAATCAGGTTATGAACATTATATGTAGTAAATGTTGGACCATAATAATCCACAGACTTAGATACAAACCAACTTAACAGCATTAATGCATAGCCAATGGCATTAGAACTAGAATTATTGTCATCTAACACACGAATAGCAATACTAAGACAAAGAAAATGTAAATAAAGATCATGTTTTAATACATTTTTCAATACATAGGGACCAGTATACATAAGAAATGAACGAAACTCTGTAGCTTTCCATCTTTTAAACTCTCCTAGTGATCTAGGCTGTATGACAAAATCAGATGGCATTTTACCAGATAAGTCATTTAATTTTTCAGTTATGCGGTTAATTTGGACATATGACAAACGACATATGTTTGGTCCCTCTGTCCAAAATATTATTAGTCGTCGAACAACCCCAAGACAAACTAAATGCATATAGTCTAAAACAAAGGTAGAAACACAAGGTAAATTAAAATCAATCAAAGGACTTCTAGATACTTGATGACCTTTATAATACATTTTAGAAAACTGTTCGTCTGAACGAAGAATAGAATTAACCTGAATAAAAACAACTCTTCCTTGCCATTCACCCTTGTCAATACATCGTTCACAGCCATGGTAAGCATTGTGTGGCTTTATGCATTTAATAAAACCACGTGCCAGAGCATCACATGTCCAAAACTTTAAACTGACATTAAAAAAATTATCTTTGTAAACAAGACCATTTTCTGAAAGCATTTTGAATTCCTCCAAAAACTGCCTGAGAAACTCCATAGAAGAGTTAGGTTTTTGTTTGCCACAGAAAAAAGCAACAGGAAACGGAGGTTTTGAACCAAATTGACAAAGTAAAGGCCAAAGCTGAGTATTGCTAGATTTAAAAAGCGGCAGACCATCTAAATTTACTATTAAATGTATGTTGTTATTGATACTTGCTTCATCAACTTGGAGCATATTTTTAATACCAGTAGCTAAACCTAGATAGATATAGTCACCAGAGCACATATTTTCAGTAAGCACACACTTAGGCGTTTTAAGTAAAGTTTTAGAATTTTCTGGTAAGTCCTCGTGTCCGTGTTTTTGCAACAAAATAAGCAAATCATTTAATGAAAAATTTGTAACTGCATGCTTAACCGCCCACTGAGAAAGATCATATGCCAAATCAGGACAATGTTTAGAATGAAAAGATTCAAAAGAGTTACTAAAATCATCACTTGTTGAAGAGAGTTCAGTTATAGGTAATGTAGAATCACCTTCAAAAGTATCAATACTATTATGAATTGGACTAGAAAAAAACTCACCAGTTGAACTTTGATAATTATTATTTTCTAATATACTGGCAATCAAAGAATTAGTCTTTCTCCATATTGTAGACCTTGATGTCATTGTATATCTTTGTATTTCTTATCTATAATACTTATAAAAAAAAGAATATATATATATATATATATATATATATATATATATATATATATATATATATATATATATATATATATATATATATATATATATATATATATATATATATATACATACATATATATATATATATATATATATATATATATATATATATATATATATATATAACAATTAATTTATATAAAAATTATATAATTTTGTATAAATAATATTTTATCATTAAATGTTGCTATTTAGTATAAAAACACAAAATATTACACAAACTGTTAAAATTTAAATAAAGCTTTTGTAACTTTTTAGAAATAAACTTTCATCATAAGAATCTTAAAAAAAATTGTAAGTAAAAAATGACTTTGATACATAATTTAACCATTGATTTGATTTTTATATTGATTAATATTATTATTTATTTATAATCCATCACAAATAATAAAACAAATAGTAAATCTTTTAAAAACAGAACTATATTTATGTTATTCAAAACAATGATCAAAAAATGACACATGATTAAATAATATATGGTAAACTAATTTAAAAGATCTTTAAAGTTTTACAAGTTAAGTTTTAAAATTCACATAAACAAAAAAAGTTTTTTCTTCTTAATATTTATTTAATATTGTGTTTAAGAAATTCTAAAGAAATGTTGAAAAATAAAGACTTTATAATATTGAAGTAAAAAAAAACAAAAAAAAAACACACTCAGTGAAAAAATTATATAAAAATTATGTTTTACTGGCTTCTTCTGCAAAATTCGAACTGAAAGACATGACATCATTTCTGGTGCTTGTCCAAAGTGTTTTCCGGTTTTTACGATCTGCAGCATATTTTAAATGGTTCATCACTACTATTCGTACTTCTGAGCTGGTAGCATCCGGAAAGACATTTAATACTGCTTCTAAGATAAACAATTATACAAAAAAAGTATTAGGATGCAGTATTAAGATAGATTAGTATAATATATTGGGCAGACGTGTATTTCAGGCACCCTTCATTACTAAGTCTGTAAAAAAGTTTTATATGAAAAAAATATTGTTGAAAACCATACCCTAACCAAACCCTAGCCATGACTCTTAGGATTAGGCTCAGCGTTTGATTAGGGCATGGCTTTCAATAAAATAAACTTTATCGTTGGCTTCAGGGCAAAAGTATAATTTTCAATAAATGTTAAACATGACTCGTTTTTTACGAACTTACTAAAGGAGGGGTGCCTAAAATACACATCTGCCAGATATTGTTACAGCAATAATGCTATTTAGGAAAATGTTATTTAAAAAAAAACAACCTATAAACAAACTCACTATTTATTACATTATACAACAAAGTTTTTTCAAACTTAAGCTTTCCTTTTAAACCAATCATGCTAAATTTTGTCTGAAGATCATTTGACATTAATCTTAGATGAAAATAAATAAAACAACTAAAAGATATCATTTAGTAATTTATGCTGTTTCTGACTTAATAGTAATATGAAGTAAATGTAACATATAAAAATCAAATTTTGAAAGTACAAAAATTACCTTTGAATTAGATCCTTAACCATATATTTAGGTGACTTTCCACCAACACGTGAGAGTTGTTTAACCTTAAATAGAAAAAAAATATCAGCCCAATTGAAATATTTCACACAAAAATTTTTATATAGTGTAATAAATTTTTAAACATTTTAATTAGTTAATAATACTTAAGTTGTAGTAATGCTACAACCTAAATACTTTAAAAATAAATAGGTTATAAATAACGTGACATTAGTTGCAAAAGCAATTGATTAATAATCATTTTATTGTCCATCTTTTTTTCTCTAAATTGCTTTTAAAAATATTAAAATATAACTCACAAATTCTTGTGCAAAACTATTATCATGCATTTTAAGTTCAAATTCATTCAAATCTTCTAATGTCAAGAATTGAGTTGGAATTTCCGCACTTAAATTATGTGACAATGTACTTTTGAGTTGACATTGTAAACATGTTTTAAGTTCACACAGTAACTTGATGACTTCATACTGGAATTCTACACACAAAAATAATTTATCTTTAATTGTAATACTTTTTAAATATAATATGCCTCCATAAAATAATTATAATAACTGACTTATATAAAAAATAAAATAAAAATATAGTATGTATAATATTTTTTCAGTATGTACAAATACTGAAAAAAAAATCTACAGTCTTTGATCACTAATTGGAAAGTTATTTCTGTTATTAGCCAGAGTAGAATGTTCTTTACTTTTTGGTAATCCACAAGAGAGTCCACTCTGTGTTTCAATTTTCTCTGATTGTAAAAGAGAACAATAATCTGGTCTTCTTTTACTTTTACTCTGAGGAGATAGTGAACAAGAACTACTGGAAGATCGAGAGCGTGATTTCCTTGAATTATGGGATTTTGATGAACTTTGAAAACTAAATACTGACTGGGTAGGTTGATTCAAATCAATATTTACTTTATTCTGACTAGCTTCTTGTGAAAGATTTAGGTGCTCTTTTTCTAATTTTGGGGTAAATGCTTTTTTATTTCTAAAACCTGATTTGATTTCAGGCTTTGGAGGAAGTGCACTGCAAACTGTTAAAAATAGAAAAATAAGAAAATAAATAATTCAATGAAAAAAAAAAATTTAATTTAAAATAATTAACTCAAAAAAATTAATTCCAAAAAATAATTAAGTATCAAAAAAACTTAAAAAATAAATATCAGAATACTATATAACTTAATATGCAAACACAAAAAATTACTTTTTACCTTTTTTTGCAACTTGAGACATATCTTTTTTAAAATCAAAATCACAAGAGTCAGTATCAGTTGTAATATTATATGAATGGCAAGTCATAAAATCTTTATCAGTTAATTTAATTTTGAGAACTTGAAATTTAAACCAATCATCTTCAGGTTCAACCTGGTCCCTTAACTTTTTTTCAGCCCCTTTTTTTGGCCATCTCAAAACTTTACCATTAATCCAACTTAAAGGAACAGTGTCAGAGTAAACCTTGTTTTCTTCAAGCCACTTTACACGACACCATTCAGACATAATAGCACACTACATAATGGTAAAACAGAAAAAATAAATAAATTTTTTAAGAATAATATCAATAAAAAAATAATGTTAAACTACAATCATATTTACATCAGTAAAGTTAAAAAAATGAATAAGTTAAAATTATTTATCAATATGAAGTTTTGTAATAAATTATTATATAGAAAAAACAAAATATTACCTTTACAAAGATTTATTAACCTAAATAATGTTATAATGTACTTTTTATGAAATTGTTTTTAATGTAAAAGAGAAAACAATAATGTTGAAAATACAAACACTATGATTTTGTTTTCTTCGTCCAGCAAGTTATAAAAAAATAAAATGCTAATCTTCAAATAAAAAGTACCACTATATATATATATGTACATATATTAACAGACACACATTACGGTTTATAAGGTCTGTCTAAGTTATAAGGAAGATAATTACCTTGTCTGAAACTAATTCCACAAGGAACTTAAAATAGCATAAAATTTCTATAAACAAATAAATAATTTATCATGTATTAACATAATTGAACTAAAATGTCAAAGAAATAGTAAAAATATCAAATAAATACTCCATCTAACTAAAATAGTAACTCCAACTAACTAAAATGTCAAATAATTAGCATTTTATTTCTTGAACAAAAGCCTAATTAAACGATTTATATACCCATTATTTTGTTATTTATTTGTTAATAAAAACTTAATGTTTTTTTTAATTCCTTGTGCACCAGAAAAAAAATTTTGAATTTTATTTTAAATCATCTCAGCCTTAGAACATTCTACATGCAGAATTTTCTGAGACTAAGTTGATTTATATTTAAATTTTTAAACAAAAATAAAATGTATGTATATATATATATATATATATATATATATATATATATATATATATATATATATATATATATATGTATATATATATATATATATATATATATATATATATATATATATATATATATATATATAAAGTGTAAAAAAAGTTTTAATGTCAATCAGACTAATGTTTTTTTGATTTTCATAGTAACATCTGCAATGTCAAAAATCAAACAACATCTGAACAATGCTGGTTGTTTGTACAACCAGCATTGTTCAGATGTTGTTTTATTTTTGACATTGCAGATGTTAGTTGACAACATTTTTCTGACGTTTAACAAAATTAACTTTTTGTTAAACGTCAGAAAAACTGCAAAGATTTTGTTGATTTTATTAACAAAATCTTTGCAGTTGGTCATAATGCCCGTAATGTTCTGAACGTAAATGTAATACATAAAAATATAGTTGACAAAATATAAAAAATACCTAAAAAAAAAAAAAAAATTATAAGGCACATTAAAATGTTTTACACATAACATCTTAAAACATGTTTTTTTTTTTTACTGCACCAAGGACAACATTTAAAAAAACCAAATTTTGTTAACAAACAGTTAGAATTGAATAAGTAATTCTGATTGAATGATGGCAAAACCATAAGTACAAAAATATTTTTATCCAATTAATTTTTTAATAAAACAAAATTTTAAAACATTAAAATTATTCAATAACAATTTAGTTATACTGCACCCAGCCTAAAACACTAAAAAATATTGATAAAATAATAAATAGGCTGGCATAAGTTGTAACAGCAAATAATTTACAGTCAATTAATTATCCAGCTTTTGTAGTGCACGTGCATATATAAAACATTTAACGTTCAAAGAATTTTTCATATATTTGGCCCAAAAAAAATTTTTATATTATTGCGTAATATTTTTTTTAAGAATTCAAAGAATTTTTCAAAAATATTGCTTTGAATTTGGAGTTGGAGTCGTTCTCTGAAAGTTTCAACAATTGTAGTCAGAGCTGTTACTTTTTTTTTACAACTCCACACCCCTAGATGCAACAACAATCAAGCATCCATAACTGTAGAGACCCTCTCAGCCATGGGGAGGTAAATATCAATAAAAAATAAATCAATAAAAATAACCTAATATGTAAACAACTAAAAAACTAATTTTGATCTTTTTATGAAACTTGAGACTCAAAATCTTGTGAGTCAGTATCAGTTATAATATTATAGGAGTAGCATGTGATAAAGCTTTTATCAGTAAATTTAACTTAAGAATCACTTAACTTTTTTTTCCGTTCCTTTCTTTGGCCATCTCAAAATTTTCTTTTTGACTCAACCTAAAGAGATGATGTCTTGCACAAGCGACTTTAAATGACACCATTTAGATATAATAGCAATTCATTATAGGGTACCAAAGAAAAAATAAATAAATTTTTTCAAAATTAAACCAATAAAAGGAAATTTTAAATTGATTATAAATCTGTATCAGTTTACTTCAAAAAAATGAAAAATTTAAGTTTAATATAACTATTTATTATATAACTATGTATTCTTTTCAAAAAATAAAATAATCTTTAAATATCTTAATAAATGTATTTACTAAAAGCATTTTTTAATGTTTAAGAAAAATACATAAGTGATAACAATACTAATTCTATAATCTTGTTTTTTTTTTTTTTTTTGCTTTTTATAACAAGTTACAAAAAAAACAACTAATCTCTATATAAAAAAATACTACTATAAAAATTCATACAAGAAACAAATTAAACAAGTGATAAGAAAGGTTATTTGGTAAGTTCTAGTCTAGAATTAGTTCCACAAGAAACTAAAAATAACATAAGATAATATATAAAACAGTTTAATTAAATGTCATAAAAAATGAACTCTTTAATTTTATTGACATTTAATTAAAAATTTTATATATCAGAAAATTTTACTATATAATGTTAAATATACAAAAGCATAACAAAAACGTTTTTGAATAGTTTTGAAAGTCAAATAAAGTTTTTGTAACTTTATTTTCTCATGACAATGTTTAAAAACTACATATATAATTCGACTAGAGAATATAAAAAAATTATGTAATAAACATTAGTATTACAGATCATAATGCCTAAAAACCAGATTAAAAATAACATTTTCTTCATTAACGGTTTTTCAACCATTTTAAAATGTGCAAGTTTTTTTTGTTTTTAGTTGTGTTGATGACAAAAGTAAAAACGTAAATAAAGCAACGTTGTTCCAAAGACGTTCTAACGTTAATCAGGCTAACGTTGGTTTAATGTTAAATAACCAACGTTGTTCCAACGACGTTTTAATGTTGACATTTAAGACGTTAGATGATAACGTTTTTCCGAAGTTGTTCAAACGTTTGTTAGACAACGTTAGAATAACACCGTTATGCCGACGTTGTAACATCGTTGGAATTTAGTTAACTTGCGTCGCGACCAAAATCCAACCAAATTACAACAACGGCACGACGTCTTTTTCTTACTGGGGATACTTTACAAAACTCTTATACAAACTCATAATAAAACAATTAATAAATTTTAAACTATAAAAATATTAAATTTTTAATAAAAATTAAACTCTTAAATCTTGATAATAATTCCCTAATAAAATTTCCAAACCATCATGCCAATTTTTTAACAAAAATGACTAGACATCAGGCCTTGCGGTAAAGCGTCGGGCGATATGAATTTTACGTCGTCCAAGAGCGATTTTGCGTGTAGCTAGGGCTATTTGCGTCGAGCAAAAAAATTTTTGTTTGAGTATATTTAAAGATTTTAAGCGGAATTTTAATGAAGTAATTTACGATTATTTTAACATTTAATAAAGTATTTTAAAAACCGCACGCAGTTGAAATAAAGGTTTGAATTAAAAAAAAGTTAAATATGCTCATTATTAGAAGAAGAAGAAAAAGAAAAAATTCAGATTAAAAAAAAAATTATAAATCTTTTAAGCTAACATTTTAATAAAATTATTCAGCAATAGCAAAGTTGTTGATAAAATTGAACAAAAATACTTTCTTTTAGTTTCAGATTTTAAACTTAAATAATTATTTTACGGGGGTTTGTTAGGTTTAAAAAAAAAAGATTTAAAAATATTTATTAACTGTTAGACCTATTTAAAGTATTTAAGAGTAATTTCGAGGAAACATTTTAAAAATTGGTGAGCGCAAATTAAAAAAAAAAAAAAAAGGATTAATATTACAACGTATTCTACTTGATTCAATAAAAAAGTACAGTTATTAAAATTTTTGTAAAAAGTACCTAAAAAAATTACTTATTTAATAACGATGGCTTTTATGTTAAAAGTTACTGAAACTCAACGAGGCATGCTCAAGAACAGCTGCTGAAAAATAAAACGTCCATAGTTTTTCGAATAATTTTTATGAATAATTTTTTCGGTGAAATATTTCTTTTATACCTATAAGATTTTTGTTCTAATATTTTATTTTATATTCTTTGAAATAAAATTCCTTTTTAACATTAAAAATCTATTCAAAACGTTCGTTTAAGTTTTTTATTAATACGAGTGATTGTGCTTATCAACCGCTTTAAGAAAATAAATAAAAATAAATAAATATTATATAAAATATATACTACCAATTGAAATATACTACCAATTGAAATGCCGCCGCTTTTTATTAATAAAATTAATGTAAAAAGAGTAACTTACACTAAACTTTTAGGTATTATAGTAGATGAAAATCATTTACGGAAAAACCACATATAAAATAAAAAAATAAAATAAAAAGTATTGGGATTCTATATAAAACAAGAAGCAATTCAAATAAACATACTTTAACTCAACTATATTACTCGTTAATTCACTGCCATATTAACAATATTGCCTGAGTTAGTACCAACTAAATTAAGTTGAAGCCTTTATTTTGTTAACAGAAGCAATTGACACGTCTTATTAATTTTAAAGATCGTTTTACTCATGCATATCATTATCATTTCCTAACTGATAAATATAGAACATATTGTTTAAAATTTTATGTTTTTTGAAAGATCCACAATTTGGTTTGAAAAGCAACAATATTTTTTATAATTTTTTTTTTTTTTTTACTATATATTTAACTTCAAAAAAGTTTTATTATGCAGCCCCTATAAGAATAATAAAATATTTACTCCATTTACGCAAGTTATTTAAGTGTGGTAAATAAATGCAACGAAGAATTTCAGATATGACGATGATAAGAAAAGCAGTTAGTGGGCGATTGTCATTAAAC